CCTGATGGTCTAATGAAGCACTGAATGGCCAGGCAGGAGAGAGGAAGAGGCGGGGCTGGCAGGCAGAGAGGATAAATACCAGAAGAAGACTGAGGATAGAGGAACAAGAGAGGAAGGAGGAGTAATTCGGGGCCAGCCACCCGGTTACACAGCCAGACATGGAGTAAGAAGGAAAGAAAAGGAATATAGAAATAGAGAAAGACAAAAGCCCTGAGGCCAAAGGAAGATGGGATAATTTAAGAAAAGCTGGCAAGAAGCAAGCCAAGCTAAGGCTGGGCATTAATAATTACGAATAAGTCTCCATGTGTGATTTATTTGGGAGCTGCGTGATGGGCCCTCCAAAAGAGCAAAGAGCAAAAGAGCTAAGAGTGAAACAACCAACAGCAGGAGGAGGCTTCTCTGATGAAGGCTGAACAATGCAAGTGAGCATAGCAGAATGTCATTAGGAGTCATTTTATTGCTACATTCCTTTTGTAGAACAGTAAGTAAGTAAGTAACTGTTTGTAGAACAGTTTTGTTTCTTTCCTAGGTGTCTGGGCTGTCTAGTCTTAGGCTGTCAGTCATCCAAGTGGTGTTGGGCATGGGTTCCATCTCATAGAATAAATCAAATCAGATATTGGATGGTTACTCCATCAAGTGCTTTGTGTCACTATTGTACTAGTGTATCTTGCTGACAGGACTCCGTTGTAAATTGAAGGGTATAACATAAATAAAAGACCTAGAGACTTGATATTTGGGTTCAAACTTCAAGCTGATTATTAGAAAAGCAAAGCAACTGGCCACTAGCTTCTTACCTCTACCTCAGGCAGAAAGGGCTGAACCTGTCTCCGAGAGCTCTCACCAAGCCTCAGACTATTGCCTCCTCTTAGTGTGGCTGGAGAATGAATGCTCCTATCTTCAGTGTGGCTGAAGAATGAATGCCTCCTACTGAATATCGAAGACCCTGTTTCTTCTATCTTTTAGACCCCTCTAGTGCTGGGATTAAAGACATGTGATCCATTGCTCTTTTAGACTGATTTAATCTTGTGTATTCCTGTGTGGACTTAAACTCAGAGAGATTGTCTACCCCTTAATCCTGAGTCCTAGGATTAAAGGTGTTTACCACCACCTGTTTAGCTTCTGGCTGCTGGGTTTAAAGGTACGGGCCTGGCTTCTATGGCTTATGGCTGACTTTGCTTTCTGAATCCTCAGGCAAGCTTTAATAAATCACGAATACTGTATCACCACAGAAGGGTTTTTTTGAAATGCTATTTTTGTTTCTCCTTTGGTAGTGTGTAGAGTACCTTCCAGTAGACAATAAGATAAGCCAGTGATGGTGAAGGCTTTTGGTAGGAAACAATTCAACTTCTCCGTGTTCAGTGAGTTTTGGAGGTCTTATTTTCAACTACAGGGCCTTGATGCCAGTTTGTGGAGAGCAACTTATAGCCTTAGTAACAGCCTGGTTTGTTTGAGGTTCCCATGGAACCCTTTTGGTCAACAACTCAATTGGTTGTAATGCATTCCTGGTAATAAAGCTTCATTTGATGTTCTTTAGAACACCTGTCCAGGTCCTTCTGGCTTTTAGCGTCTCCACTGAAAAGTCAGGTGTAACTCTAGTAGGTCATCCTTTGCATATTATTTGGTACCTTTCCCTTGCAGTTATTAATATTCTTTCTTGTTCTGCATGTTTAGTGTTTTACTTATTATGTGTCATAGGGAATTTCTTTTCTGGTCTATTATGTGTTCTGTATGCTTTTTGTACCTTGATAGGCACTACCTTCTTTACATTGGGAAATTTTTCTTCTATAATTTTGCTGAAAATATTTCCGAGCCTTTGGCCCAGGTTTCTTCTCCTTCCTCTATTCCTACTATTCTTAAATTGGGTCTTTTCATAGTGTCCAGATTTCCTAGATGTTTTGTGCCTGGATGTTTTCAGATTTAACATTTTCTTTGACTGAGGTATCCGTTTCTTCTATCTTGTTTTCAATGTCTGAGATTCTCTCTTCCATCTCTTGTATTCTGTTGGTGAGGCTTGCCTCTGAGGTACAAGCTTGAATTCCTAAATTTTTCATTTCCAAATTTCCCTCCGCTTGGGTTTTCTTGGTTGATTCTATTTCCACTTTCAGATCTTGACCTGTTTTCTTCATTTCCTTTCACTGTGTGCTTGTGTTTTCATAGACTTCTTTTAGGGATTTATTCATTTCCTCTTTAGGGCCCTCTAACATATTCATAGAGCCTATTTTAAGGTCTCTGTCTTGTGCTTCAGCTATGTTGCATTTCTCAGGGCCTACTGTAGTAGGGTGGCTGGGCTCTAGTCAAGACATACTGTCCTGGTTTTTATTGACTGTGATTTTAAGCTGTTGTCTAAGCATCTGGGTTTGGTAAGATTGTAATTCTAGGTGCTGATATATGGCCTTGTCTTTGTTGGGTGGGTGTTTTGTTCCCTGGTTCTGTTGCCCTTTGTGATTCTTAGGGAGAGTATGGTGACTGTGTGGACTGGTAGGGAATGCTTCTGGGAGTCTGCTAGTTGTGGCCACTGGGTGTTCCCTGTAAAATGTGTTTCTATTGTTATTGGGAACGGATACTTAGGAATGTGGGTAGGCTAGTAGGATTGGGCTGAGGGGGCCCACAGGAGGAAGGAAAGTTGTGTTCTACTAGGATATGTTTAGTTCCCTGGGAATGGGGGGCAGAGAGTGAGGAGAACCACAGCAGGTGGTCTGCTACATAGCTTGTATAAGACTGTGGCACTGGACTTGGAGAGGAGGGCGAAGAGCTGTAGCGAGCTCACCTACCTGTTTTGCTGCCCTACTCGTTTCTCCAATAGGCAATAGGCTAGGATGGCGGGTTTCCAGGGAATGCCTGCTGGAGTTGGAGGTTTTGACAATGGGCTAAGTGGGGAGGAAGGTTGCAGAACATTGGCATGATCCACTGGTGATGGGGGCAGAGGGAAATGCAGAGCTGGAGATTAGACTGGGGATTGGATTTGGAGGAGAAGAGGGAGAGGTGAAGAGCTGTAGTTATCCTACTTGTAAAGCAGAGTAAGGTGTAGAAAAGAATATTAGACATTGCTTGGTTGACTTACTTAGTGGCTTACTGAAAGCATTACTTGTACTGCCTGTTTGCCAACCATGACTTCACTTGCTACCTGGAACAGAGTGACCTGGGGAAATAGATGAAACAATGGGCCATTGCCCTGAACAACTGCCATGTAGGCTTCTGTAAACGCTTACTTGCTTGCCTGACCTACCTTGTGGTTTTAGAGTATGAAATGAGAATACAAACTAGATGCAGCATTGAAGCCTCTCTGGAGAGATTCTGGCTTAGGTCCACTGATGACATCACCTCTCTTCTATTCTCACCAGTGTAAGAGCCCTTATTCCAGAAGGATTCTGGAAACATCTGCTTTCCTGGTCTCTGTGCCCAGAAGGTTCCCTGGGAATGACCATTGGAATGGGGAATAGGATGAGAGGATAAGTGTGGGCAGGAAGGTTGAAAGAGAAGATCTTGGTGAACCACTGGAGATGGGTGTGTGGGGTGGGGGCGGAGCACAGCAGTTGGTCTGCTGCAGAGCCAGAGGTAAAGGTGATATCTGCAGTTAGTCTTATCTGCTTCCTTCCTTTTCATTTATTCTTTACAAACAGCTAATTAAATGTTATTTTGAAGACCCTCATCATCAACAAAACCCCAATTATTTATTAGGTTAAAATGTGTTTATATAGGGAAAATCAATACTTTTTTTTTCTCTTATATAATTTTTATTTTATGTTCATTGGTGTTTTGACTGCATGTATGTCTGTGCCAGGGTGCCAGATTCCCTGGAACTGGAGTTACAGATAGGTGGGAGCAGCCATGTGGGTGCTGGGAATTGAACCCTGGTTCTCTGGAAGAACAGCCAGTGTTCTTAACCCCTGAGCCATCTCTCTAGTCCCTGAAAATCAATACTTCTTAGTTTATTGTTTTGAATATGTCTTATTATTTTATGCTGGGAATTTTACCCAAGTCTTCTGGGTATATTTATATAATTGTAACTGGAATTCAAGGTGAGGAATGAAAAGAAATGAAAAACCTTCGGGGAAATAAAAATCAAAATTATATTTCTATTCTCTTAGCTTTAAATACATTTTTATTAACAGAATAATTGAGATGATTGTTCTGGAATAATATGCAGAGAAAGAGAATGAGTGATATAGCTTCAGAAATATATAGGACACATGAAATATATGTCACCTTTTCATATGCAAATAGCATGGTGGAATGATTAGTCTGGGAATTTTACTGAAAAATATTTTCTACATATAGAACTCAACTCTTCACACTTTGATAGTTTATATTATTCTTACTTTACATTATACAGTACAAATGCACTTTGGAAAAGAAAACACACTAGATAGTACACATACAGTAGAAATAGGAATTCAGAAGTCTCTTGTTAGGGGTTACAGATAAATTTTAGTAAGTGGGCTAATTCATCAACATGGAATCCCTAGATGTTGACAATCAACTGCATTCTCACCCTAATAGGCGTTGATATGTACTTAGGACTTGGCAGTTGCTGAAGAATCTTCAACTGCCTTTCCAGTGTTGCAAAAGAAAAGGAAAAAGCAAAACACTTCTATTTAAACACTTCTATTTAAGGCAATGTTAGTGAAAAGAAGATGGCTTTAGAAACCCCCTCTGTAGTTTTGATTTCATAACTGCAAACACACATCTGTAGGCTTAGCAGAGAACTGGAGGAAGAAGTCACTAAAAACTCAGAGCTCAGTTGTACAGTCCTAGTTGTTCTCTCTCTCCTTCTCTCTCTCTCTCTCTCTCTCTCTCTCTCTCTCTCTCTCTCTCTTCTGTATAAGCAGCTTAAGTTTTATTGTGAAAACCTGAAAGTTTCTGTTGTTCAAAAGTTATAAAAAACTTACATTGCTCATGTGTCGGCTCTCCCTATTTTGAAGAGCCCTTTCTGACTGCCTCACTAGGACGTCAGTATGTTCACTGAGCCCTCTGCAGCTGAGTCTGTGCTGTCAGGCCACCTAAGAGTCTCCATCTTCATCATCCAAGTCAGTGCCAGCATCTAGATCCTCCTCACTGTCTTCCTTCCCTTTGCAGCTTCTTCTGTGGTTGGAACCTTGATTTTCAGTATTTACTGAAGTTTCGGGTTCCTTATTAAATGGAATAATGATGTCTTCTTTCTTCCCACATTTTGTACAAACTTCAAGTTCACAGGCACATGGTCTACACACAATGTGGTAAGAGTCCTTCACTGTCTTTTGCAAATATTTAATACACTTCTTAGGTTTTGACAGTGGTTTGTACTTGCTGTATTTTACATACCACTCAAGAACTTCTTTGCAGCGCTGACATACTCCATCATGAAGTTTTGCATTAATTTTCTTGGTCTGAACACTCTTATCGAACTTGTCATTTTTGAAAGTGAACATATACTGGTGCTTCTGAGGCCTGGACCAAGTCACGTTGCCTTTCTGGGAACTTATCACCAAATCACAAGCACCTCAAGTTGGTGCAGCCCGTCAGTTACAGGAAAGAGGCTAGTTGTTCTTTGTTTATTTGTGTGTATGTGTGTTTCTGTGAGCCTTTGTATATGTATGTGTGCCACTGTTAACGCCCGGTGGCCAGACAACACCTGGAAGGTGGTTCTCTGCTTTCACCTTGTGACTCCACAGAATAGAACTCAGGCCATTGGGCTTGGAGACAGGCACTTTAACCTTCTGATCCATCTCACCTGCACACTAGTTCTTTCTATCTGAAGAAATTATAGAAAAACTTGAAGCAGTTCAATATAGCTCAAAATGTTTGCTCCACATTCTAAGGTATCTACTTGGTGTTAAAATTCTAATGGGGGAAAATATCTTGTTGGGATGAGGCTCAGTGACATAACACTTGCTTAGCATGTATGAAGCCTAGAGTTTGATCCCAGAATTGGAAAAACAATAAAATAATAATAAGTGGTATTTATATATGACATTTGTTAGCAGAGGCTCTGAGACAAGTAAGGTTTATAAAGCATTGGAATAAGAGTAAGTAAAACACAGAACTAGAACATCAACTACCTTTTAGGGGTTAGGAAAGAAGATCCGAGAGGTTGTGTCATGTGGGCCATGGTGAAAATGTGTTAACGAGACAAACACTTTAAAGCTGATAATGCCTTAAAAAGCTCAGAATTATAGGCACTTAATTCACAACCTGAGTTTTTCTATTGGATATGGGGTCTGAGGAGATTGTGATAGAAATTTCTAATGGGCTTGTGTTCTTGCTTAGCTTCCTTTCCTCTGAGGAATGGATATCTTTAATTTCGAAGTTCTAGGATTAGATAAGCATGTTGTGATAAGATAATAACGCTGTCCTAATTGAATCATTCTGGAGCTTAATTTTCTAAACTTGAATTAACTAGTACCATGTTTAACCTGATAAATTAATTATAGCCCCTAACACTCTGTCTTGTACATTATAAGAACTCAATGGGTGCTTCTTGCTATGAACTAAATTGAAAAAGATACAGTCCCCTAGATTAAAAAAAAAAAGCTAGCTCTTTGACTTTTGTTTACTTCACACATTTTGGATCCTTACGTTAGAGTGGGAGGCCAAAGGGCATGAGCTATAATAAGTAGGTAAGACACACATTCCCTTAGCACTGTTGGCCTATTAGAGTTGGGATCGTACACTGTAAAGTCTTTACAGTTTTAAAGAAGGTGGTATGATGATGTAATGAGATGATTCTACTTTAGAGTTAGAAACACATGTACAAGCATGCACATATACAGCATGACATAGACGCTGAGTTTGACATATCTATGGCAAATGAAATCAGAGAAAAAATATACAAAAATATGTGACTAATTCCTTTACCTACAGGTATACATAACTCCTTTTACCTTAAATGCTAAAAGATCCCAAATAGTTTGTTTTTGGTCTAAACAGTGGCTTCTGTGTGTTTTGATGGATTCAAGTGGGAACCTATGAGAACTGGGCCAAGGAACCTAGAGACGTCTAAAAACAAAGAGTAAAATACGTGTTTTGATATGGTTAGAGAATGCTTGTAATGTTGCTCACATCCATATTATTTGACAAAATTAACTTCTTGTTGAAGGAACCAGCTTCCCATTTCGGCAGCCATAACAGCCAAACACGTATTTGTCTGCCCTTGTCTTAGTCACTAAGGTCAGATGCCTGCCCCTTTCGGCAGCCATGACAGAAACACGTGCTTTTCTGACCTTGCCTTGGTCACTAGAGGTTAGGTGCCTGCCTTGTGGCAAGGAACCAATCAGAAGTTAGCTGGTGGTGGTATACTTTCCAGCTCTGGGTGTGCTTTACTGACAAGCACACAGCAATGATGCACAGAGCATAGTAACCACCCTGGGAGGGCCTATGGTCCATAACAACCAATAGGCCAATCAACACAGGGCAAGCCCTCCAAGCCTGGAGGCACACCAATCCCGGGCCTGTGCGTACCCCTAGACACTCCCCTTACGCTGCCCTACAGGATCTCCATGCAGCCCCTTCAAACTGTCTTTTGCTAGCCATCAGCCATGGCTGGTGGGTGAAAGACCTGAGCTAACATGGGGTTAGCTCATTAAACAACAATAAAGCCTCATGCTGTTTGCATCAAGCTTTTGAATCTGCCTGGTGATTGCAGTGACTGCGGTCCTGGGCTGAGACTCCGGAGGCCTGAGTTTTCCGGGGGTCTAACACTTGTGTCATTTCAGTATTTGGTAGTCAATAAAGAGAAAGTATCTTGGGGTACAGTTTGTTTTCAACTTCCTTGGGTTCTGCTTTGACTTTGATGAATGGATACAGAAATTCTAATGATCTTAAAAGGATAGAGAAGTAAGAAAGGCAAACTCACTAATGTAGGACTTGATTTTACAACAAAAACACTGGAATTATCAAAGCAGAGAATTTTTTTTTTGGTTTTTCAAGACAGGTTGTCTGTGTAGCTTTGGAGCCTATCTTGGCACTCGCTCTGGAGACCAGGCTGGCCTTGAACTCACAGAGATCAGCCTGCCTCCAAAGCAGAGATTTTTAAGTGGTCCAGCTTACTCATACAGTAGGCCTTTGTCCTGTTTGATAATGTATGCACAAATGGTGAGAACAGCTTAACTTTGTTACCTGCAGTTGGATATGATCTATTTTTCCTGGTCATGTGAAGGGTACGTGAGCCAGTTAAAGATGGTGCTGAGGGGAAGTCAGGAACGCAAGTCCTGAGATGTTTAAAAAAAGGGTGATTGGTTGCCAAGATCGAACCAGATGAGGTCACTGCATGAAGGGCTCAAGGTAAAGCATAGGGCGCCTAGGCACATGATAGGCTGACTTTTAAAACCATTGGCTGGCTGTCCTCCCTCCCCCCCACAGTTTTTTGCTTTAAAAGATGCTTGTTGTGGGGCAATAGATGATTTCCTGCTTGACTAGACTCCCCTATGTGTCTGATTGTCTTCAGGATCCTGGGAGGCTGGAGACTTACCCTTCCTTGGACCCAGCTCAGCCTTCCATGGTTGGGCTAAGAGCCTGCAGTCGTGTTTAGCTCTGACTCGCTTTCAATTATCTGTAGAAAGGTGGAAATCAGAAAAGGGAAGGGAATGACATATACTGCCTCACTAATTGTGTACCATCTGATAGGTCATATGTTAGAATACTCTAAATACATCATTGTATTTGATCCTCTAGACAATTTGTGGCAGTAGAAATACCTCTGTGGTAAAAGGCTGAACCTTAGAAAGTTTGTATTATTTTCCCCAAATTATATATGTAATAAGTGTTGATGGAAAATGAATTTAGAATAAGCATGACACTGAGAAAGGCTAGGATTCAGAGACCCCTGAGGTGGAAATGACCTGTATGCCTCCTCCCTGAGGTAGTAGAAGGTGTCATGTATGTATGTATGTGTGGGTGACAATTATGAAAAAGAGGAAATGAATTTGAAAGAGTAAGGGAGACGGAAGATTTAGAGGGAGAAAAGGCAAGGGGAAATGACAATGATAATCTCAAAATTGGAAAGAAGTAGTTTCAAGATGTGAATCGTTGTCGTCATCATCATCCACTATGGAAGGGGTCCTGAAGTTGTCCTCTGACCACACAACAATGCATTTGTCACATGCATTCCTACACACACACACCTACCCCATACTACTACTACCAATAAATAAATAAGAAGTAAAATTCATTAGTAGGACCAGGATAAACAGAGGGCAAAGGATGCTCTATGTCCCTTTGAGATGGGACTTTGGCAAGGTTGGTCATAGCACAAACAGTTATGGCTTGTTCTTTTTAATTAAGCTAAATCCCTTCTCAGAAGAGGGAAAATTTTTTGCTCACTGAAACCTCAAGTTTTAAAAGCTATATGCCTAGAATTATCACATTTTTTCTACTTCAAATATTCTGAGTAACCAGAAAAATATATTCTCTATTATGGCACTGTGAAGCATTGTTTCTCTCCATAACTCATAGAAAATAATATAAGCTGTGTTGTGACATGCTCCTATTTATGGTGTGGGTGCATCATATGGTATGTCTCCACTCTGGAGCAGAAGTAGATCATACTCTTATGATACTCTTAACAAGTAGGCCAGGAATCTAAAATCAAAACCAGACAAAAGCAGAGTAACAAAGAACATTAAAATCAGTAGACAGAGAAAGCACAGAGGGCAGCTGGACTCGGAAGGAACTCTCCCTTGGGCAATTCCAGACACAAGAGAAGACAAGGAGCTTAGCAGACAGTTCTTCAGGCACAGAGCCATTTCAGTAGCTAAGGTGATAGTGTTCACGAAGAAAGCAAATTTGGCTTTGAAATGGGATTTAAATTTGAAGAATTACATGTATAGAATTTCTCTCCAAAAGATCTCTTTAAAGTTATCCCTAGTAGAGGCTTAAGGGACAAAGTAAGACATTATGAAATGACGTATAAGTGGATTACAAAAGTCACTGGTTAGTGAGATGTCTCAGAGGGTCAAGGTCCTTGCTGCACAAAATGGGCAAATGAATTCAATCTCCACAACACAAAGAAGAAAGGAGAGAACTAAGTTCACAAAGAAGTCCTCTTATTTCCTCATGCATGCTATGGCATGTGCACAGCCCCCATCATGTACACAGACATACAAACCATGTACACATACTCACACAGAGATAAATTGATGTTTTACCTCTGATAATTTGAAGTCAGTAACTGGAATGAGGTTAACTTTCGTTCTACATAGCTCTGACTCAGCACAAAGATCTCTTCCTGCAGGTAAGTGTGGTGCTTCATGCAAATGGGACAAAAATGTCCCAGAGTAGTTAGGAAGGCATACAGGCATAGTATGTTCCTGATGATCCAGATGTCTTAGGATTTGCATTAGTGGTACCAACAATGGCAGAGCCAGAGTTGTCTAGGCAGTTTTTGGTATCTTTGAAAAGAAGAAAGGAGGCTGAGAATTTGTTGGAAGGCACATGGTTTTTGTTCAGCAATGAGGACTGTGAAAGTCTTTCAGAGAGTCATCTCCATTCTAGCAGACAGAAGAGA